CAAATAAATAAACACGCCTGCCAAAATAAATTTTAGAATGGATTACCCACAATGCACCACTCAGCCATATATATAGTCAAGAAAAAAAACCAACACATGTGGCCTGATAATTGCATCTAGCATGAAACAGTCTGTTACCTCTGAGTGTTGACTTCAATGTTCACTTATATATATATAAACCTAAATACCAAGTTCCATACACAACATATCAATATAGATTTATGACAAGAAATACAGTCTTGTACTGGGCTGTGAAATTGATACACTATGTTGGTCATTGCTAGTTTAGTGAATTTTGTTGTGTCATCTAGGAGAGATTGTAATTTTTGGTTATAATCTTGTTGGTTGAGAGCTACATAATTACTGGCTTTTTCGGTGCATCTGATGAGGATATTGGAGTTGTTGCATAACTCTTCTGCAGCTGATTTGAATATATATATATATATATATATATATATATATATATATATATATATATGAAGAAATATGATTTTAAGGTGTGCTATATTTATGGAATAAAGTGCTCAATGTCAAGGATATGTAAATATAAAAGTGAATATTGAAGTCAGAGGTGACAGACATGTATTAGGAAAAATCATTGTTCTAGCTACAAGTTATTATTTCCAACTCTTCCAAGATGCTCTGAACCAGAAAGAAAGAGGAAAGCTCATTAAACCACAGATGCATGGCATTGCCCCTCCCATCACCACCACTCTAAATATATTTCAATGTGCACACACATGACTCAAGTGCATATTCTGCTATAGGCAAGGATGATAGTTATAGTAATATATTTACAGTTATAAATAATGATGGATTAAAAAATATATATATATATATATATATATATATATATATATATATATATATAGAGAGAGAGAGAGAGATAATAACAATAATGTTTTATACAGAGAGTGGATATAGCCATTATACTGTCACACACCCTTATCCCTCTCTCTACCTCTAGAACATTTACCAGTTCGAGTTTGATGGAAGCTCACTGAATGTTAACGTCATTGACAATGTTATGTCCAATTGCAGATTCTAATTTTTACTTCTGATAATAAAAGACAAAAAAATTTGCCTAAAAACAGAGATAAATCATGGAATACATTCCTAGGGAAACAAAATGGCAAAAGAAATGTGCAAAGAAACAAGAAATTAGAAATTCATATAGGTGGGTAGGTGATTGTTCCTGTGCCATTCAGATAAAGAAAATATTGTATGCTTTCTGTTTATAGTCAATTTTGATGTTCAAGTCAACATTTAAAGCTTGAAAAAAATAATTAACTAGATAACTACAGGTCATCCTTTATACTGAATAGTAAAAAATAATGTGAACCCTTACCACATTGTAAACATGTAGCACACACAACCAGTGTAAAATTTGCCATTGAAATAATCACAGGTATTTCTGACAGATATTTATGTTTACTGAACTGATCCGACATATTGAAAAAAAAAGATTATAATAAAATCAACACAGTACTTATCAATTCTTATATATTATTAATACTTACACATAGATAAGCATTTCTGCTTTGAAACAAGGTATCTGGGCACTGCCTCTGTTATTCTCTGGTTTTTTACCTTGAATCAGAGTGTAGTATTTATGCACTTTGATGAAGATCAATATCATGGCCTCTTGTGCTGCAGATCAGAATGCCACACCCTGGCTCTCTGCTTTTAGGATCAGTATGTAATACCTATGCACTGTACCAAGGATCAAAGTGTCATATCTGTGCACTGTAAAAAGTGTTACACAAAATGTGTACATGGATGCAAAATATGTTTTATGTGGAGTGATATAAGAATTATATGGTTATAGAGAAACTCAGTTGAGTTCCACCATGGAATATGTGAGCAAGTAGCGCTATATTGAGTCTGATTTGCAATCTCTTCATCACCGAGGCCCTTGGAACAGTTGGTATGATGTTTGCTTGACAACCTAACTTTCAGGGTTTCAATTATTGGTAGTGTATGCACACTGCTGATGAGTCCCAAATATAGGATTAAACGGCTGTCCAGTGCTTTCTGCACATTATATATATATATATATATATATATATATATATATATATATATATATATATAGATGCATGTTTCATTAAATAATATAGACAAGTTGTGTCTATTTTAAGTAAGTTCCTTTCTTTCATATTGTCTGATAAGCTTAATAACATTATCATTGAAAGACGAAAGGAAATCACCATATTGATACATGTTTAAATCCGATCTAAGCTTTCGGCTTACATAAAGATGACAATTACATTTCAATATATCAAACAATACACGGACGAAACAATGATAATGTTATTAAGCTTATCAGACAATATGAAAGGAACTTACTTAAAATTATCAGGCACAACTTGTCTATATTATTTAATGAAACATGCATCAATGAAAAATTGCTGCCTAGATATACACAATATATATATATATATATATATATACACACACACTACTAATAATAATAATAATTATAAATAATATTTATTTGTTCCTCACTATTTGATAAAACTGAATTTCATTTTTTTACTTTACACACTGTTTTATTAACAACAGAACTCATTGTACAGTATTATATATATATATATATAGGTTTTCTTGTTGCTTGAAATAGCTATTCAAATGAGGTAAATTTGGATTTCTGTGCTATAATATATATATATATATATATATATATATATATATATATATATATATATATATATATATATATATATATATATGATAATAAAGTTAATGGTAGGAGTTGAATTAGACCAGAAAATAGCAGTATTAAAAAGTGCTAAAAAAAAAAAATAAAGCATTAGGAAATCAATTGACCGAAATCACCTGAAGATGCTGAAAAGTTGAAACCAAGGTAGCGGAATCAGCTGATCTTCTAATTTTATATATATATATATATATATTAAAGAGAAAATAGAAGCTGCAAGGTTTTGGTTATAATGTGGATTTTTTTTATATATTATACTTTTATTTCCATATTTTTTGCCTAGGCATGTTTGTGTTTGTTCAGTACCCACACTGCCCACCTCTGGTTTATACTGCAACTATGCTGAGTGGACCTTAGTTAAAATTTCCAAGAGAGAGAGAGTGATCTGGCATTATCAACAGTTTGAACAAGACCAGTATGTTTAAACCCTCAGTCACAATGACTTGTAACATCCATTAACAGTCACTGAACAGTTCTGTCTACCAGTTCCCTGTCCAAGGCTTGGGTCAACCTATCACATGGTTTTCACCCCCTGAGATCTCCTCCCCAGGCTGATAATATTAAGAATTCACCTTCACATTTCGGCCAGTGCAAGTGTCACATCCCCCCCCCGCCAATCTATGACACAAATTAAAATAGTTGTTAATTAGTTGAATAATTTTAACTCATTCATTGTTATAGATGAAAAATAATGAATTTTATACCAGTGCATCTTCAAGACTTAGCATGAGTAAAAATTCAGGGAATGATCCAAAAAAAATGAGCCTGGAACAATGACCACATCCGCAAAAATTTTTTGTCCTTTCATAGTCAGTGTTGCTTAATTTAATTTGTAATGTATATAAATGTAGGTAGGAAAAAAGCAAATATTGATAAGATGGTGAGGGTCACAAAGCACTGTCTGGGACCCCTAATCAGACTTTCCCTCAGTTAGGGTTTCAGGTGTAGTACTCACCAACCCTGTTTCCATATATAATAATAAGTTTTGTTTTCTTGAATATCTCTGTTTTGGTTTGGTGGTAATTGCACATAATGTTAAAGTTGTAAAAATAACTAAGAAATATACTTGTCAGATACAAGAAACAAAAGTAAATTGTTTTAAATTCTATTAGTAAATGACCAAATATTACTTTGGTTATGGTAAATGGCATACAGTGTTACCTAGGCCGTTAAGGATTCTGAGAATGCCATGAACAGAGCATGAGTGCAATAAGGAAGTTTGAAGGAAAATAAAATAAAAAAGATTTGAAGAACAGAAAAAGCCATATCTGAAGAATTATTTCTGTGATGAAGAGTTTATTATTATTTACAATCTTCTCATCTTGTTGTTACTATCACAATGTTTTGGACATTGTATCCTCTTTTTTCAGGTATCAATCTGTGTAACATTCAGGGAATTTCAATCCCTGGTCCAAGTAGTACAGACTCAGACACATTAGAAACAGGATTTGCAATAACTGAACAGTACTAACAAAATAAACCTAAGCGAGGTATCCCTAGACATGGATAACAGAACGGACAGTCTACTCCAATAAATTAAATAATGGGTTCAGTTTTTAATTCCTTGATGGTTATCCAGATTGACAGACTTCTGAAGAAGGCCAGAGAGCATAAAAACCAAAATGTTGTGATAGTAAAAAACAATGATGAGGATGTTAATCCAAATCAAAAATAAAAATGTCTGGAATGGCAAAGCATGTCAGGAGGGGGAAAGGGCTCACAGTACCACAGCACTTGGGCTGAGGCTCACAAGTCTTAGAGAAACTGAAGAGAAAGAAGATTAAAGGATAAGCATGGATTAATCTGTGCAGATGTTTGAGTTTTTTTTCTAAGAAAGAGAAAGAATTAAGGAATATCTCTATAATAAAACATGGAATCATTTGTTTTACATGGGTTGCTGAGAATGGAGTTGCTTTTTGTAAATCATATAGCTGGGAATGAGCTGAGCTGTTCACTGAAATGTTATGGTTGTTAGACTAACACAGAATGAATTCAATAAGTGATACAATTTTTGGAATGAGTTTGTTGATTTGTTTTTGCTCAACTGTGAATGAATGTGGGGGGGAATCTATATTTGTGCTTGGCAAATGAGTTTTGATTGTTTAGCTGTTTGCTTTTGCAACGATAAATATGAGATAAAAAGAGTTTAACATGATAATAAATATGTAAATACAATGAAAGGTAGAAGCACATTGCTGTGTGCAAACTCTTTGATCCTTAATAGATGCCTTCCATTACATTTTCTTGAATTTTTTTTCCCCTTCTTTGCATGTCTTTGCAGCGTGTTGGTGAACTTGAGCAAGAAGTTAAAAAATCTCAGGAGAATGCCATTCAAATTGAACAGAAGTACAAGCAGCAGATTATTGAACTGGGTTTGAAACGGGATGAAGAGAAACAGAAACTGACTCGGGAACATGAAAATCAGGTAAGGCCTTTGCTTACACAATATATTTACTTTCTTCAATAAAATAAAAATAAGAAAATGCTTGCATTTAAGTTCGGCATCATCTTTATCAGAACAACTTATTATGTTGTTAGTAGTTTTGTCATTTTTGATTTAAGACCCATCATGCCTTATAAACAAGGACGAATCATCCCTATTCCCTTTGCATTTTATTAGTAAGAAGGAACTTCCACTCAGACAGCTTCTTAGCTAGAATTATGACTTTGTAGAACAGACTCACAAGAGGATACTTTCCCATCACTACAATCTTAACCTGTTCAAGTTTATAGTTTGCCATTATCTATCATACATATCCTCATAAACTGCACTTTTTATCACCTCCTCCTCCTCCTCTTATGCTCATCCAGCAATCTCCTTCATTAACCCTCTACTTTGAGTGGCTCTTAGGCCTTATATTGGGGGAACATTAAAAAAAAAAACTTTCTGCTACAAAGTAAAAGTTACTAAGGTATTGTCAAAAGAACATTGCCAATGTAGGCAATATAGTTACAATATGTCCCTTCAGGTAACAAGTGATCATGACTTCATAGCTTCCTTTTCTTTAATATCTATAAATTGTGCCCTGCTATGACTGTTCTTTGGAAAGAGGTGTCATATGGCTCTTGCCCTGTGCCAGGTGAAATATCTTTCAGGGTTCCTATCATAGGTTGAAGGTTGATGAAGCACACCAGTTATTACTAGTTCAGAGAGTTTAATGCTCATCAGGTGTCATATTATTCTGTCTTTGAGCTAAATTAAGTGTAGTAAATAGGAATGTGCAGTAGACTAACAGTGTGCCAAATGGAATAACCAAACCAAATTCAAATTCTGACTGAAACAATCACTTCACACCAATGCTGTTGAATCCATCTCTTCTTTCCACAGCCATGGGAAAAGTAACAGGGTAGACTGAGTTCCCCGGTTTTGATTGGTAATAAGTCAGTAATAGTCTGTAAATGAAGGAAATAATTAGGGAACAAAAACATCTCTTTTCTTCATAAACAATTAACATCTGAGAGACAACAAAGATGAAATTGCTTCCTTGAGGTTAAAAGAAAAAAAAAGATACCTAATAATATTGTCAAAATAGCTCTTGTGATAATAGGAGACAAAGTATTAATGAACAGTAAAAACAAAGTGCTTCTCTTGGAAGCTGTTACCATCAATAGGTCAGCTCTAGATAATGACAGAAATTCAGTCAGAGAAGTAATACTGTAAGACAACTGTTTAAAAGTAAATATCTAGCAAAGAAATCAGAATGGAAAACAGAAACAAACGTCCCAGAAAGAATAAATAAACTGATTACTTACTTCTATGTTGTTCTGTACATATTCCTCATTCCTATGAAATTCTTTTCTTTAAATATTTCACTGCTTCTCTATACCTGTCCATCATTCATGGCTATGTCTGTAGACTGTCTAAATGTCTATTAGAATAGTTTGAAAGGAATCAATAAAATAAAGAAGAGATTTATTTTTACCATATTCCTTCTTTTTTTTTTTTTTTTTACTTTTGATTTCAATTCGGAAGCTGTCACTGGAAAGCCTTTCTGTTTTTGTTTTTTTTTAAATTCCTTCCGCTCCCCCTCCTGTTTTGTTCTGTTATCTCTTTTACTTTCTGTTAAAGATTATTTGTTTGTTTCTTTTTTTTATTTGGCATTCGTTGTTGGTTGTGATGGCAGAATAAAGAACATGGATTGACATTCATTATCTATCCATCTTTATTTCTACAAGAAGATTATTATTGTTGTTATTGTTAGAGAAGTGCCTACACACACCCCTTTCTTTGATGAGCTTGTATGTGCAGGAAACATAATGGGTATTGGTCTGGAAAGTAGAATTAGTGAGCTGGGTTCAAATTTTGGTCTAGTCTGTTGCATTAATGCTTTTGGGAAAGGTAAAAAGCTACTTCTTCACTCCTGCTATAGGAGAAATAGTAGGGTGAACTGAGCTCTGTAGTCTTGGGTGACAACTACTCTTGGAGAAGAACAACTGAATTCAAACTGGAGAAGTCAATGGGAAACTACTAGACTCTCTTTCCCAAGAATTTATGGCAATTTGCAAATAACAGATAAAATATATACTGAGTCACATTTGCCTATCTCCTGAAAAGGCCCACCAATAAAAAAAAATGTATATGTGTATATATAAATGCATATAGAAAGCAAAGTTTGAATGCACAATTTTTCTCATTGGGACTTCTACAATTCTATATCTGCTAGCATCAGTTTTGTACCTGAAACATAAACAACATTTGAATGGATTTTTTATACAACAATATTTCTTTATAAAGGTTATTTTTTATTTAGTGGAGATATATATATATATATATATATATATATATATATATATATATATTTTCAAGTTGTTATCCTGGTTTTGTTTAATTTTCTTAAACAGTGAAAATTAATAACAACCAACCTATATTGACAAGTCTTACTAAAGAAAGGTTGATCCTTTGATAGGAATTGAACCTGTATCTCCTTTGCCATCTGGGAAACAAAGATCCTTTACCAATTCAACTACAGAGGTTGCATTGATATTCAAACTTTTTGCTCTATTAACACAACTGCAACCTCTGTAGCTAAATTAGTAAAACATATATATATATATATATATATATATATATCTTTGAGTCTTTTTCCTTCCTCCACCCCTCGCCACCATTACATGTTCATAATTTTGAATCTTTCCTTTTCATTTTTCTCTCTCTCCCTCGATAAAATACATGTATCTAATGAATTTAACCTGGAGTAATTTTTTCCATTTATATTTGGTTTGCAGCTCTGAAAGATTGAAGGCTATTTTTAGAGCTTTCATGAAATAAAGATTATTAACTATAATATTTTAAGTGTTTCATATTCATTAATTAATAATTTTGCTCTGTCTCAGACATAGAGCTCCCCTTGGATCTTTATCCTCTTGGAAATTCCATATGGATTATCATTTTAATTTATTTTTTATTTACTTACTTTTAAATATATATATATATATATATATATATATATATATATATATGGAGACACGGGGGAGTAGTTGATAGCAGCTCAGATTGAGGAATCTGAAAGCCGATTTCAAATTCCAGTTGAATCCAATACATTCACTTACATGATAATACCCTTGGGAAAGGTATTAATCCTCTTCTCCTTCCAGCTATGGGTAAATAGCAGGACAGACTGGGTTCTATAGCCTTGGATGGCAACTGGTCTAGGAGAAGGATGACTCTGAATTCAAAATGTGCGAAGGGTGGTTTAGGGACACTGTGGCACGTAGTACACCAGGTCTCTCTATTTTGCCCTTCCAAAAAGTGGTTCTGCACAAAGTCTTCACTATTATAATCAAATCATATATGCTGGTGTCTAGCTGTCAGAATTGATCCTCATACATTGAATATGATGGAAGAGTCCACTATATATATATATATATATATATATATATATATATATAAGGTAATTAATATTTAATGTTGTTAATGTTATATATATATAATTCTATGCAAAATATTTGACCACTGGATTAGTTTCTTTATTTTTTTCTTAATAAATTATTCTGAAGTTGATTTGGTGATATTTATCTCCTCATTGATTTTTTTTTTTTAAACCATGCATTAACTATTTTACATTCCTCAAAGCAACATATTTTTTCCTTTTTCAATCCAACATGATTTTGTACAACCATAATTTTTTTTAAAAATTAAAGTTAACTGGCTTTAAAAAAATTTAAGTCAACATTGCTTTAAAAGAAATTAATAATAATAGTAAAATATTAATTCACTTTCACATTTCTTACCATCTTCTATAGTTTCCTTTTCTTAATGTCAAGAGATTTTTTTAAATATTTTAGAATGTTCTTGAATTCAAATGTGAATGCATAAAATTATTCTTTCTCAATGATGCATTTTCTGTACAAAGACACATTGTCTATCTCAATAAAATTTCTACATTTGCCTTGAAAAATTTCCTTAAGGAACAAAACATGTCGGCATAAAGAATTTTCTGCTTATCATTTCTTTTATCCATATATGTGAGGTCCAATCAAAAAGTATCAGTGCTGTTGCTATGGTAACAGAGTTAAAGTACTCAGAGTAGAGCCACTTGGCACAGAATAATATTGAACTCTGTTGTGCATGCTCACTAAGTTATAACATTCTCACTTCCTTTTGTTGTTTATAACATCACTTGGAAGGAAAGTGTTTAGAATGTGGCTCATCTCGCCGTACTACAGAGTTTCCATCAGTGATCATGGTCGAGAATCTGCATCAAATTTTGCCAAAAGCTTGTAAAACTTGTTCAGAGACCTGTACAAAGTTACAGAAAGTGAATAGAGAGGAGTTTCCAAGATACCTGATAAAATGTAAACAGTAATGCATGTTCTGGGAGACCTTCAACCAGCAGAACTGATGAAAACATTACAGATTTATGTGCAGCTGTTTGAAAAGACTGTTGAATCACTGTGCATGAGTTGTCAGAAGATGTGAACATTAGTTACGGTTCAGTTGATTCCATGATTCTCTGAAGATTTGGCTATGAGATGAGTTTTCAGTTGACCAAAAAGAAACTTTGCAGGATCTCCATGGTTGTGTCTAGGAAGGCAAAAACATTTTGAAAATGATCATGACAGGTGACGTATCATAGCTCTATGGCTCTGAGATGAAAACCAAGGCTCAATCTTTGCAGTGGAAAACCCTGACTTCTCTGAGGTCAAAGAAGGCACAAATGTGTTGAAGTAATGGGGTGACACTGCTGACAGTTTTCTTCAATTAAAAGGGCATTGTTCATCATGAGTATACTCCTCCTGGTCAGACAGTAAACACCATGAGGTGACATGGAATTTGTGAGATGTTATTTGTTAGAAATGAAAGAATTGCATGCATCCAGTGAGTGACCACTTCGCCATGATGACACATCTGCCCATTCAGTGCAGCTTGTGTAGCAGTTTTTGGCCAAGCACAATATTTGCCAGGTCCAACAACCACCATATTCC